TTTACTGTTGGTTTCTCCCCCCTTTTTTTTCTTCTTCTTTTGTTCTTCTTCTTCTTTTTTTTGCGGGTGATACACCGCGCGGTCTCTCTTTTTTTTGCGAGTTCTATGCCTCTTTTTGTGCGTGCTTCTTTGCGTGTTACCGCATGTTTCCTGCGGTTTGGTTTGGCTCGCAGGCAACTTCGTGCTTGAGCAGACGCAGGCGTCCAAGGAGCTGCTTGTGAAACAGAGGCAGGGCGTTTCCATTTTCCGTCAGGTGAGCCACAATCAAAACCCGGGTAGATGAAGGTTAGTAAGGGAGAATCCCAGCCATAAATAGCTGCGGCCGCCTTCTTAGTTCTTTGCATGGTTCTGGGTAGACCATTTTTGTACCAGGTTTTGATTGTGACTCAGGTGGGTGTGTCTGAATGGTTGAGGCTCGGTGTGGATTTTTTTCTCCCGAAGGAACCTTGTTTGAACATGGGCCCCAGATGAAAATGTCTTTTCGCGAGGCTCGGTACCTTTTTTCGAGGTTTGAAAGGAGGACCAAAAGGAACATTTTGGGGGGCGCTAAAAAAGACACACACACACACACACCTGCATCAACCACTTTTCGGATGTTGCCAGGGGTTGTTTCCCTGAAAATGTTGGCTTCGGATTAATCTGGAGGACCCTTCTCAGAGGAACACCTACAATAGATTCATTTCCTGACGGAAAACGGGAACCATCCCTGAGAGCGATCCTCCAGATGAAGACGAAGTTCACCCGGCGGCGCGAAAAAGCACATCAGGAAGGAGTGGATGGCAGCAGTGAAGAGAACGCAGGTGGGGAGGGGTCATCAAATCCAAGATCTTCAGCGTCCACGCTGAGGACTCCACCGTGAAGTTCGTGGCCCAGAAGCGGGTCGCGGCGAATTCCAATGGCTACACCAGCGAGGCGCTTCCGTACACTTGATCGAGGCAAACTGATACCCTCACTCCCACTGTGGCTCAACGTGGTACGCAGGTTTGAGCCTTTGGTTCCATTTACCAAGGTGCCATTTTGGTATTCCACCCACAGCCACTGGCGCCTGGAAGGTTCCCTCTTAAAGCGACCTGTCTGGTGGCATGGTTACTCAGGACGAAAACCTGCGGTCCAATTCCTGGTGGAATTTTGGCCCATACCCAAAAAGCCACGGTTTGGTTTCCTTCAAAGGAAACCCAATTCGGCCAACAGGGGATGGACACCCACTCTTGCTTACGATTCTTCCAGACTTGTTCTCCACTGCTCCAAGACCCTTGATGTTCCCCAGCTTCTTGAGCAGGGCTCCTTAAAAGATACATTTTGCCCATTTGAAACATGTGGCTTTTTCCACCAAAATAAAGGGAACCCACCATTTACAAGTTGCAATGTTCAGGTGTTTCTATTGTACGGATCCCTGTTGAGCGTCTTTTGTCGTCTTTTTTTGAGGCGCAGGAGCGTGCGCATCTGATCCGAATGGCACAAGACCACAACTGGATGGACTATGTGAAGGCGGAGGATGGGGCGGGCGTAGGGTGTCAAAGGAGTGAAACCCCTTTGGTTTCCCTGAAAAAAACGATCCCAACAAAGCTACCCAGAAAAAAAAAAAAAGCAAGAACAAGGGAACAAACACACAAACACACACAGACCCATGTTGGTGTCGTTTGGCTTTGGTTGGTACCCTTGCCGAAAGGGCTCCTGGTTTTGGACCATTTTCTGCGTGAGAAAGGAAGGCTACCCACGGAGGACAACCGCATTTTGATTGGGGGTGGGGGGGGGGGGGGGGGCAAATGCGGCTGCTTCAAGCCGGGACAGGTGTCACTTCCCTGCCGACATGTGCATGCGGCGAATGCAGGTGGCCATTTAAGAGTCCTTGAAAAACATCCGAACAGACCTCCATGTAAATAGGAGAGAGCAAAGGGCAACACTGAACTCATCCTGCTCAGCACACAGTCATGTGTTCAAAATTCACACACCCGCTGAATGACGCGATTTCGATTTGCTACGATTGATATAGAATATGGCTGGTTTTTCTCACGGAGCCGGGTTTGGGCCTACTTTGGGCTAGTCGAAAAATGTAGCTTGGGTCCAACGAGTGTACTTAAAGGTGCATGGTACTTAGGTGGTTAGTAAGCCTGGGTACCCACTTTCCAGGGTTCGTGTCCGTGTGGGTTAATAAAATCAGGCTTGCCACTTGCCAGACGTACCGAGTCGACCGCCCCTTTCAGTCGCCTTCTTTCAACCTATTCCCCCCCCCTTTCCGTGGACCGGTGCCCCCGGTGCCCCGGCGCTGGCCCTGGTTTCACCGGCCCGAGGAGCCGAAGGAGTCGCGGCCCCAGACCCCGCCCAAAGCGCGGGCGCCGCCGGCCATGCCCAAGTCCATCGCGAGGCGCCCGGATGCCATCAAGCCGCTGTGACTGGCTGGTTTTCAGCTAGGACGGGTTTGGATTGAAGCGTCCGGGATCCCCGAAGGGTTTTCAGGGGAATGAGGTCGGGTTTGGAAGGAAGCGTTCAAAGTCCCTAGGAAACGGATGCGCTGGTGCCAGACTCATTCTGGCAAGTGCTAAAGGATGCGAAACGGATCCCCTTGAAGTAGCGGCTTTCCTTTTAATTTCTCTTCAACCCAACCTAAAAGAAGGTGCTGCAAAAACGCCCGCTGACACCCTCCTCTTGACTTGCTTGTTCGCAGGAGATGGTTTGAGCAGGTTGACACTGGCTCCATGGATGCCACGATCAAAAAGAAGAGGGTTTGGGAAGGATGAGTGAGAAAGGTTTGGTCCTTTTGTGATATTGTACCCCTGCACATTTGCATCGCCGGTTTCGATCTCAGCCAGGGTTCGGGTTGTGGCACCTCAAAGCGCCTCGCGCCAGTGCGATTGGGCCAGCAGGGGACAAAGTGATTGGCCGCGACCTCGGTGCTCGGATCGAGATGGCTGGGGGTTTGCTCAAGATAGGAATCGTTGCACACCCCTGCAATGGCAAACAAGTTCCCCAAGCAAAACAAAAAGGGGCTCGGAGGTTTTTTTCCCCCCATTTTTTTGCGAAGTGACATGTTTGTTTTTCGGAGGTCGCGATCCATTTTGAGGGATGGATGGTTTGAGCAGCCAAAAGCAACCCCCGCTTCTTCGGGGTTCCGTTCAGCGAAACATTTGGAGAAGTTCAGCCCTTCGGTGTGGCCGAGGCGAGTTCAAGAAGATGCTGGTGGAAAAAGGACGGCAAAGTTTGGTCAAGTTTATTTTTATTTTTACTTTTTAAATGTATCAGTAGTTATTTAATTGGGTGTTTTTTTTTAGTTTGGTGAATGGTATCCTTTTTTTTGGCTGTGAATTTTATTGGGGAACCACCTAAAAAGTGACTCGTGGACATGAATCCCCACCTGAATGATGTCACCAAAGGGTCCTTGATGGAATTGTATCAGCCATTTGGGCTCAAAATTAAGCCACGAGGAATTGGACCGCAGATTTTAGTCCTTGTTTGCAGTATCCAAAATGGCTTGAGCCATTTTCAGGTTCCTTAGTTTTGACCCATCTGTTTCTTGGGGGGGTCGCAAAAAGCGAAGCTGCAGGGTGAGAAAAGTCCAAGTCCTCACATTTTCGCTGTACCCCACCCATTCTGAGGGATTCTCAGAAAATCTTGGAGCACTTAGTTTCGAGCTACTGGGGCAGAAGAAAAAAGCGCATCGCCAGCTGAAGTATGCAGGAGGCAACTATGCTCGGGCCTGGCAGCTTTGACGCAATCAGAGGGCCCGGCCGCTCTTTCTAATGTTCTTCTTTCTTTCTTTCTTTCTTTCTTTCTTTCTTTCTTTCTTTCCGTCTTTCCGTGTTTCCGTCTTTCCGTCTTTCGTATCACAGAAAAGGTCAGTTTGCCATACGCATGCGGGTATAACTTCCAATTGGGGAACCCTTTGAACCTTTTCTCTTGGTGGTTGGATATGTGTCCACCAACCATTGTGTGGGTATCCCGACCATCAAACATGACACTGGTGGCCTCGGAACTGAATCAACTCCCTGCAAGGGGAACCCCTGATGTTCGTGTGGTACGGAATAATCAATCCGAAGAGAAGATTGGCCATCGTCCATGGATTTGCGTGCACTAAGCGCATTCAGCGGGGTCCTTTTGCCACCTTGTACCAGAAAATTGGCGACCCCCTTCAATCCTTCACTACGGGGCCTGCAAGCATAGGCACCTTCCTCACCTCACGCTTTTCCTCAGGCGCTATCTGCTGGACCCAGACTGCCGCGGTCAGTTGACCTTGCCACAGCTGGCACGGCGCTGCCGCGAATTGGGGCGCCGAGCTGAGAGCTCCGATGGCGAAGGTCCCTTTCGCATGGCTGTGGGTCAAAGATAGGTGCCCAAAATCGGCGGCCCGGGTAAATTTATAAATGGAGACATGGCGGAAAGCCTGCGGCCCGATTCCTGGTGTAATTTTGACCCACATCCAAATGAGCGCCCAACATAAATGCCCCAACAAACCTTCTGGTTTCAACCAACCATGGCAGCTCCTTTCGTGGTTCTGGTTCTCAACTAAGCATGCTGGCGCCTTTCGCGGCGCGGTGTCTCAGATTTCGGAGCCCTTTCCCGTGGAAACTCAGGGCAGGTTTCTGGCAGGGTGCACGCCGCAGCCTCCGGGCTCTCAAGAAGCTTCAAGTGAGCCCATCCACCAAAAGGGGAAAGGAGTTCTCTCAAAATTGGTGTCCTTGAACATGGCCTCCCAGGGAAAAGGGTTCTCACAACTGTGGAGTTTCCCCGGAAATCTTTGGTTTCGTTTCGATTTGCTGAGCACTCCGACCGAAAGAGGATGTTGAGAAGCGTGCCAAGGGTTGAACATGCCGACCGGTCCGCCATTTTTTTTTGAGAAACCGCAAAAGGTTGAAACAAGCGTGATGCCAAGGAACCTCCGCTTTCACATGGGCTGTCAATGGGAAGATCTCAGAAGCGGTTGCAAGCAAGCGATTCCCAACATCGTCAGCGGCCAAAGGGCCCACACAGTCAATGCCTTCCAGATGTTCTACCCAGAGATGCACGTGACACTTGACACAACACACTTCTTGAGCCACGAGCCATGACGCAAAGTCATGCCAGGAGGACGTTTAGCTGCATTTGTTTCCCAGTGGCTTGTGTTTGGTTATTCCATGGCTCTGTCCTTGCGGTGCCTGTCCGTGGTTCTCTGCGCTGAGGTTTGTGAGTTGAGTCACAATCAAAGCCGGGTAATTGGAGGGTACTAAGGGGCAATCCCAGCCACTTTTTTTTTCTCCATGGGTGCGGAATTCAGCACTTTCATTTCCTTACATGGTTCCGGGATGATCTTTCATTTCCTTACATGAGTCAACCTCAGAATTATCAAAGACCACTTTATCAACGGCGTTTCATTCAATACTGGTTTTTTGCATTTTCCTTGGAGAACGATAGGGGACTCACAAAAAACGATACCCCTGAACATGGTTTGTGCTGGACCTTCGAGCTGGAGCTGCCGAAGTCTAACTTGTGTACCGTGCCTGTACTGAAAGCTGGAGGTTGCTGCCAGCAAGCAAAAGCCGCTTAGACTGACACGTGACCGCCGCAAGCTGCGACCTTCGAGCTGGAGCTGCCGAAGTGTAACTTGTGCACTGCGCTTGTGGTGAAAGTTGCGACTTGCGACCTTGAGGTTGCTGCCAGCAAGCAAGCCGCCAAGACTGATATATGATTACCGCAAGGCAGAGAAGGCTATTGTGTGTTTGCTTGGCTCTAACAGCTTATGGAAAATTGTGAAAATTTTCGTCACGCGACACACGCCCAGAACGATACCCCGGTCGATACCCCGTCGATACCCCGAGCATTGGCCCGAGTTGCAAATGTGAGGCCTAGTGCATTTGCTTACAAAAGACTACGCGTGTGGTTCCAGTGCTGTGTTTGCGTAGAAAGTTTGTCGGGTGCTTTGAAGAGTTCGCGCGGCGCTATAGCGAGAGCGCTTGGGCACGCGTGGTCACCGCGAAGAGAGTTCACCGGGCACTTTCCAAATTCGCACGGAGTCGCAGCGAGGGCGCTTTGACACGCGCAATCCTCGCAGAGGGTTCATTGGGCACTTTACGAATTTGCACGGCGCCACAGCGAGAGCGCTTGGGCGCGCAGGATCACTGCAGAGCGTTCATCGGGCAGTTTTAAAATTCGCACGGCGTCACAGCGAGGGCGCTGTGGCACGCGCAATCCTCGCAGAGGGTTCATTGGGCACTTTACGAATTTGCACGGCGCCACAGCGAGAGCGCTTGGGCGCGCAGGATCCCTGCAGAGGGTTCATCGGGCAGTTTTAAAATTCGCACGGCGTCACAGCGAGGGCGCTGTGGCACGCGCAATCCTCGCAGAGGGTTCATCGGGCGCTTTACAAATTCGCACGGCGCCACAGTGGGAGCGCTTCGAGGCGCGCGATCCCTGCAGAGGGTTCATCGGGCACAGCACGAACACGCGAAACGTGGAGAACGATAGGGGACTCACTAAAAGTAGAATGAATACACCCCACACAGCAAATATAGACGCTGGCTCACATGGTTCTGGGAAGATCTTTTCGTTCCTTCCATGGTTCTGAGATCAATCTTTAGTCCCGGGGTTCTGATTGTAACTCAGCTGAACCGCGTCAAACGGATCCGCCGCCCCTGGCCGAGTTCCGTTTTCGGGAGGATCTCCCACGCAAAGCGCTGCATCCTGGCCCTCGTGGCTGGAGCGACTCGGCAGTTGGCACTTGGATCGAGGGTCAGGGAGGACCTGGGAATACACCCGCTGGGTATTGACCCCATTCAGGGCCTTTTTTCCGGATAAAACCGTGCTATGTTGAACTATTCTGGGTCATTTCCCAGGGGTTGTAATACAAACCCCCCTTAGATTCTGGCTGATCCGGCAGTCTTTTTGCCCATCTTCCTCGCGCGCTTCTCCGACCCCCCCCCAATTTCTGACTGAAGAATTCCGGGAACTGGCTAGGCAGAAAGCTCCGGCTTGGAGCCCAGAACTCATCTCCCAACGAGGCTAACATCCACCCACCGGGGTTCAGTACTCTCCCAAAATCAACCATGGAACCCGAAAGTATCAGGGACCAGCCCATGAGGGCTGAAACCACTGTTTGTTGGTATTTACAGGGGAATCACCAGACGCCAGGGTTGCTTATATGGTGCAGGATTTCGTCCATCCACAGTATGGGCCTTACTATAGCATACTATAGCCACAGCAAGACCAGGTAGTCGAACCACCTGAGAGTGTTGGACGCTGGAGACCCATTCGCGGGCATGAATCAATTTTCATAGGCTACACCCTCACTGGGTAAACCGGACATTGCCTAAATAATGCCAGGGGTCCCTAGTTGCAATTCATAAATGATAGGGAAAGATGTCAATGGAGAAGACGAGTGACACGGTCAACAAACCTTACGTTGGTCTCTTTCTTACGTAAACTCCATTTCCATGACTGGAAAGAGGTTGCAAGTGACTCAGCAAGTGTTTGCCATCCTGGTCCTAGGGCTTCAAAGCGGTGGCGAAAAAAACATATATATATATATATATATCCGTCTTCCATGTGCTGAACAGTTTTTTTCCCCCCTGTTGGTTTTAAAGGAAATCTACCACTACTGGAAAAAGGCGATTTTCCAATCTCACCTGTTGTTTTAAAGGAAATCTATCACTACTGGGAATTGTTTATTATATTTTTCCCAGGTCTTAAGCAAATGGAGGTCGTCCATCCGCAGTATCAAACTTCGTCATCTTGTTGGAACCTAATCTCAGCTCGGGTTTCGGTCACTGCTCATTCACGTCGTTTTGCACGCTCAGGCTGGCACTCGTACATAGCTGTACTAATGTGGATAAACAACACTTTTTACCACCTAAGAAACCCGGTTTATGCTTATTCCCCTGTAAATAGCACCCCAAAAAGGTTTCAAAGTGGTGCGAACGGATTTCGTCCATCCACAGTATTAGCAACAAGAGCCAAAGACAAAGACATAGGTCACCGCTGAGTTCCAATCATAATAAATTGCCAGCTGCATCTCAGGTGTCAGCCCTGAGTTTCTGCTCGGCGAAAGGAATCCGCTCGAGGACAACTTTTCGGAGGTGAAAACTGGCAACAAAAACAAAGCCGAAGCTTCGACTTGAGGACGTTGATTCTGGGTATTTGGATTCTTTACAGGTTTTGGGTAGACTTGTATAAGATTCTTTTTTATTGGCTCAGGTCAGTAGCATAGGTGTCCTTTTTGGTTGTTTTGCTAGACAAATCGATGGCCCTGGTTTACCTAGCGGTTCAATCATCTACCAGGGCCATATATTTCCCCTGAAAGGACAGCTTTGGTGAGTAGCGCGTTTGGCCGGGAAGTGCTATGCTCAAGTCGCCACGAGGACACCCGGCATTGTGCGGCAGGCTGCTGCAGTGTGCCGTGCAGTATTTTCTATTCATGCTACTCCTGTCCACTATCATGGAACCCACCGCAAATTCCCTTTCAAAGGAACATAGTCTTCCAGCACCCCTCAGCCAGCTTCCATGTCAGTGGATCAGAGGGTAAAATGACTGATCAAAGGTTCCGGTTCCCAAGTCGTATCCTTAGGCCCGTAGCACCAAATTTCCGCTCAGTTTCCGCCACCCAGAAAAAGCCCTTCTGCAAGAGTAATTAGTTCCTCGAGAAGACCGACTCATTTTCAGAGGGGCACGACCTGCGCGCGCAAGAGGGCAGCCAGCCCTGACTATGGTCTTCTGGATCATTCCCAAGTTGATATTGTTCTCCTGGGTTCATCAAAAGCTTTGTTTTCTAAATGGTGGCGCTTCACGGGAAGTGCCAATTTGAGAGATCGCAGCATGCCTTGCTACTTTTCGGGATCTTTCTCTCGCTGAACGCGCAGGCCACTGCAGCTGACTGGGCATCTGATTGGTTGACTCAGGCGTGGCACATTTCTCCGAAAGTGAGGTCTGTTGGACCCCCGAAAGGTGGCGTTCCCAGCCGAAGCCCTCTGCCTTGGAAGGGCTTCGTTGGGCATGAGTCAAAATTAAACCACCAGGGCAGCGCAGGTTTTAGTCCTTGTGCCATGTAATTACCAGGGTTCCATTTTAGGGTTAGCCTATTTTTTGACCCACACCCAGGCCATGGACCCTTTGACAGGTTTTAGACGATCACTAGAAGGTTCCTGAGCCATGACCACCGCCCATCGGGGCATGCATCAAAATAGGATTCCCCAAAATGGGTTCTTTCTTTAACGCCAACCAACAAGAGTACCAATGGCACCCTCGAAAAAGGGGCCACCCCCAAAATGGCTCCGTTTTTGCCGTTGGTTTTCCTGTAGAGCCAACTCGGGGTTATCAGACCGAGCCAAGAAACACAAACAAGTCTCCCATGAGTTCCCCACTCGGGGTGCCTGGCCCTGGACCTTTCAGGAGTTAACCAAGAGCCCCGTCCTGCTGATTTCGGCGGAGGGCGCGGGCTTGCAGGCCGGGCCCAGCGCCTTCGATTGCGCGCGCGATCGCGATCCCTCGAAGCCTTGGGGCTCCAGCTGGAAGTTTAGAGTTTTAGAGTTTTAGAGTTTTAGAGTTTGTTTGTTCGGATCGGGTCGAGCTGAGATTCGGTTTCTGGAAAGAGTCTGGGAAAGTTGTGCAATTGGGGGGGGGTGCAGGTAGGGTGGACAGTTGCAAGTGTTCGCTGTAAAGTACGGTTCAGTTGTTGGTTCAAGCACTTTTGGAGCCATCATTGTCATAGTATAGCTGGTGTACATCATGTCACCGCTCGTTGTCCCAGTTTGCAGTCCCACGTTCCGTTGGGCTTGAGCTAAAAGAGCTTCTACAAGGTTCCCATGAAGTGATGCGACAGTGATGGCCAATTTGGATCCGTTGTTCCATAGAGTCAGGGGATACAGCCATTCACTCTAAGCTGGTGGCCACTACCCCCAAACTACTCCCCCCCCAAACAAACTAAATCGAGGTGTAGACGCTTTACATAGTCATATAGTGGTTGTATAGCCCGTGTTTCCCTTGGGGGTAGTGGTTTGAGGGTAGTGGACAGCATCTTAGCTCCACGCCTTGATCAACGCACGAGTCAGTGCTCCTGGGGAATGCATCGAGTTGCCTTTCGGCGGGTGGCAGATGTTTCGGGGGACAGATACCCGGCTGTTCCATTAGGTAAAGCCTTTTGTGTTCATCTCTGGTTTCCACCCCCAAACAGAAGCTACCAGCGCAAATTGAGGTATATATGGTACAGCGTTGCCAGCCCCCCCCCCCCCCCCCCACCAATGGTCATGGGTCAGACAAGTACCCCCCCCCCCTGTGGTTGTGGTCCTGTGGTTGGGTTGTGGTGGCTTAGGGCTGGTTTAGAATTGGTTTAGGGTATATTTCGGGTGTATTTAGGGTGTATTTAGGGTTAGTTTAGGGTTGGTTTAGGGTTGGTTTATGTTGATTTAGGGTGGTTTAGGGTTGGTTTAGGGTTGGTTTAGGTTTACGGTTTAGGGTTTGGTTTAGGGTGTATTTATAGGGTTGGTTTAGGGTTAGTTTAGGGTTGGTTTAGGGTTGGTTTAGTGTTGGCCTAGGTTTAGGGTTTATTGTTTAGGGATTGGTTTAGGGTGCATTTGGGGTTAGTTTCGGGTTGGTTTAGGGTTAGTTTACGGTTGGCTTATGTTGATTTAGGGTTGGTTTAGGTTTAGAGGTCTACGGTTTAGGGTTTGGTTTAGAGGGTATTTACGGTTCGTTTAGGGTTAGTTTAGGGTTAGTTTAGGGTTAGTTTAGGGTTGGTTTATGGTTGGTTGCGGGTTGGCTTGTCCTGGGGGTGGGGGTGGGGGTGCCGGGGTGTCGGGGTGCGAGTTCAGGGGGTCGGGGTGGGGGTGGGACCGTAGGTGACAGGATCCGGGGGCTCGGGCCAGCCGGGGGGGGTCCTGGGGGACCCATACCATATGGGGGGGGGGGGGTAGCAACACGGAACACGGGACCATATATATATATATATGAAGTATATATATATATATTATATTTCATAGCGGTTTTTCTAGTGGCTGTATATTGGCATGGATACCCCTGCTGGGGTAGTGTCTGGCTTCGCCATCTTAGAGAGGCAGGTGTCAACTTATTTCGATTGCGCGTTACGTGATTTCTGGCCAGTCAAAGTCAGCAGGTCGTCAGCTTCTTGCTTGGTTGTTTGGTTTGGAATCGTGGGGCTTCCCTTTTTGCCCTTTACAAGAGCCAAGCGAGCGGGTTCAAATCCACCAATTCAAACCAATCATAGCTGAGGACATGATGACCTGGCAGTACTGGATTGGTGGTTTGGAGGTTGGGGACCCTGATGTAACTGGACCCATTATTCTACCACTATCAATGTCACCCCACAAGTGGCAGGTTCAAGGGTTCTGATTTGACAAGCTCCAACCCACCAATCCAAAGAACCAATTAGAGGAAAGCTGATACTGCCACGTTATCATGTCCTCACGCACTCTCTGATTAGCGGCTTGGATTGGCGGATTTGAACCCCGGTGAACAGGAAGCCACCCTGAATCGTTCCCAACCACCAGTTCCAGTTTCTGATTTGGATCTCCAGAAACAGAGCCAGCATCACACCAGCAGACGGCGCCCTTCGGTCCGTTTCAAAGCTTTCGAAGGAGGCGAAGCAAAGCTTGGGCCGCGCCGGGGTGCGCTACGATGTGGTGGATTTGGACCGCCTGGGATCCATGACCCCTGCGCTGCTGCAAGCGCTGGAAGCGCAGAGGACGGGGAAGTCGTCGGGTGACAATTTGGAGGGTTTTAGGCGGGGCTTCAGGGGATTTTAGTGGGAATCTGGGGGGGGGGGTTCAGGGTTTCGGAGGTTTTGATTTGAGGGTGTTTTAGGGCCGATTTCTGTACTAAGGAGATCCCCCTTTTTGAGGGTGTTCAAGTCTGAAAAGACCACTTGGGGTTTACGACTGATGTTGCGAGGGCTTTGAGGTTGCCCGGTTTTCCCCAGGAAGGCGCATCTTGATTGGAGGTTCTTGCTGTGACGCGGCAGATCCCCTTGCAAGTCCGAAAGTAGTCATGGACAAAAATGCGAATCGCGGACAATTGTGGACATCATTGATATGGCTGTGAATTCGAAGAGTCGGAGCCACCTCCAAAGCCAAGTGGTGGACGCGAATCCCATGAAATATTTCTAATTCCCTAAAACAAGTTCATCAAAGGCTCCCCTATTACCCAAATGGATATCAGTTTCAATGGGGTAACGTGGAGTGGACATAATTTACACGAGGAAATCCTTCTTAAGGAAAGAGACCTCACCAGCGCCGGTTTTTTTCCAGGGCCCCTCAGTTTCCCTTTCTTCCTCCAACAGTATATCGATCGTTGAAGTGGAACCCACCGGTAACTTGATCAACTTCAGCGAACATGGGTCTGCCTTTTCTTCAGGGTACCCAGTACTTTCCTTTTTTGGTGGTTTTAAAGGGACACCCAATGGACACATGACACCATTTGTGGGCTCCAGCCTCAAAACGTGAGACCCCCCCCCCCACCCCACCCCCCCCCCCCCCGCAGCGCCGGCCGTCGAAGGCCCCCGGCCCCTCGGCCAGGCCTGCGACGGCGCCGTATCTCTTCGTGGGCGGCGAGCTGCTGCCTTCGAACTTCACGCTGGAGAGCGAGGAGTGGCTGCAGAAGGCAAGGTGACTCGCTGAGGGATCTGCTTGGAGCCAAAGATTCGGGGACACGTCATCTTCGTTTGGGGGATCGTGTGGGGCGGGGGGGGGGGGAGCCCAAAGATTCGTTTGGGGGATTGGGTGGGGGGGAGGAGCCCCAAAAAAAGTTGGATGGGGAATCTTGGGAACCGTCATCTTTGGGGATCGTGTGGATGGGGTGAAAAAACGGATGGGAATCTTTGGAAGAACCTGTTGAGGGGTTCTGAACACCTGTCTTTATGGGGGGAGGGGGGGGGAGGTAATCCATTTGAACTAGCATTAGCCCAGGGGTCCAGAAAAGGGGGTCAGTTTGATCGAAAATAGACAGCTCTACGTCTACTTGCAGTCATACAGCCAATGTGAGATTCATACCAAGTGTGTTTGAAATTGACGCGCTGGCCGCCAAGATGGTTTATCCTTCCTCCCACTAACATAGCATTTGTGGGAGGGTACCGGGAAGATCATTTGCCTATTCCAGGGACCGTTTGTGAGGTGCCACGTTAGTCAGATGGAGGGCACTTCCTGGTGGTTTCCCTTGCAACCACTCAACAGGCGGGTCTTCGTCGGGAGGTGGCCCTTGGAGGTGTCCCTTCGTGTTTGCAGCGGGAGCTGCGTGAATTTTGGTTGACACTGGGACGAAGGACGTGGAGCTCACCCTTTCCATGCTCTGAACAGGCTTGTTCTTGTGGCTCGCACGAGGACTCATTACTGCTCTCACTCCCTGCTTTTCCCACAAACACATAGAAACAACTCGCTGCTTTTCCTACAAAGCCCAACAGACTCCCCAAATGTCCCAAGGCTTTGTTGGGGTAGCTCCGCATGCGGAGGCCTGCCACCAAGCTGGCGCCGACTTCCTGGAGCCTGACGAGAGTGCGCAAGCGGAACTCTCTCGGAGGGTCCGGGCTGTTCCTTGGGCTGGCTCCAAGCCTTAGCTGTTGGCCGCTCGTAAAAATGAGCTTCCTTTTGGCGAGCTGGTGGGAGCCGGGCTCGGAGCTGGAGCTACCAGGAGGTCTGCAAGGACATGGAAGATGTTGGCATGAGTTGGTACCTCTTTTTGTTTCCTTTGCGTGGGGGGATATTTACAGCTCGGACATGTAATCGGAGACGTTCAACGGCTCAAAAAAGAAGCCACGCTCGTGACAGGTACCAACCTCACATGGACAGTGCGCAGCGGAGCCAGATGGCTACCACCAAAGAACGTGGGCGGCCGGCGGTGGTATCAGGACGAAGCAGGCGCTGAGGAATCACTCTTTTTCGGGAGACGAAAGGAAATCCACCTTGTTGACTGCTATTGGGTTGGATCTTCAGACTTTAACTTTTTGTGAAGTGAACCCACAAAAGGTTAAACTTTTTGTAGAGGGTTCAACAGCAATCAAGCCTTTCACCTTTCCTATGTTTTTGTGATGGAAGGGGTGGGCCCCTATTTGAGACAAACACTTTATTTGTGCCATGCCGTTCACGTGAAGCCATGCAGCTCACTCTCGGGCACACGCGCACATTGCCCCCTGCAGGGATGGCCAAGTACGAGGAGGGTGCGGCTCACATCGTGGCTTTGAACCATAATTTCCCCCATAAGCACCTAACCCCCAATTGAGCAGCGATGGAAACCCGTAAGGTCATTTCATACTGTGGAAGGACGAAATCCTGCACCACCTAAGAAACCCTGGAAGTTGCAGGTCTTCAGGTCTCATGGGGGTCTGGGGGTCGGCACATCTCACACAGAAATGCTGTCCAATGTGGTTGACGGTTTCATTTGCAGGGTTCTAATTTTTGATTGCCCTCAAGGTTGACTTAAGCCTGAGGGATGGTTAATTTCCGCAACATGGGGACCATAGGTTTGAGTCTAGCTTGATAATCAAAGAATGTAAACAGTTCAGATGCTTTCTGCTAGTCTCTCGGCGAATGTGCAAGGGACCACGCACACTCTACATATATATATATATATAAGATACATATCCCTCGGGCTCTCTGTCGGGAATAGTCACCTACATCCATATGTGGGGTCTGAGAGGATACGAACTGCGTGTGCCTCGTGAGGGGTCACATTGTCGAAATCGAGCGATCCATGACCCATTCCGGCTCAAATCACACATGGCAGAAGCGGACATGTGACATGAACCTTCCAGGAACCGGGTTTGGGATGTGTTTTTTGTGGATTCTTTCCTGCAGTACAACGCAGTCGACCTAACAGAGCTCAAGAGTTATTAGCTAAACAATGTGGGGGGGCCGCATGAAAAACGCGTCCAATCCGTTTGCTGGACCTATCGTACATGCGAGAACCAGGCATGTGACATGCCGGGAGCCGGGTTAGGATGCGGTTTCTGCACTGCCCAAAATTGATGAGTCGACGTGACCTAACAGAGCTATGTATCAAGAGATGAAACGGTGGGGTCCCTGCGTACGGGCCTTGCATCTCACCTCAATGCATTGCGTGAATTCGGGGATGTCCCTGGGCCAACAATACACGTGCACATATTGCAAGCATGCATTCGACTTGAAGCAAAACACCGGTACCTGCATCGTCGCCAAATCGCGCTATGGGCAATGCAACGTGTTTTTGCAGCCAGTAGGCTCCCGAACAAATTGTCTTTCTATTTTAAATGGTTGATCGCCTGCTACCACGCTCCGTGAGGCCAATGGCTCCACCAGGCGCTTGTCATTTCAGTGCTCTGCATGCGCTTGTAATCTTTTGGCAATATCGAATATGATTGCTGGGAAAGACAATGCCCCTACAGAAACCGCAAGGCACATGCCTGTACCTGAAATCCCCGGCCTTGCATCCCATGCCCGCGTGCAGCGCAGCAATGTGCTGCTTTTCGATTGTTCAGCTGGTGTGGCTCGATCGGTTGCGGTCTCCTGGCGGCATGGCGGACTCGTCGAACTCCGACAGCGGGAACAAGGCACGTTCAGCGCTAGCTAAACGCAGTCAGGGCTACGGCGTATTGCTCTTCCTAATGTGGCAGAAAAAAACGACCCGACCTTGGCCTACCGATGATTGCAAACCTTCTGGTAAAATCCTGCATGTGGTTTAGTGTGCCTGGCGGCTCATCATGATCGAACGTGCCAGGAGGTTGTGGACAGCTGGCTGAAATTGGGGACCGCCTGACGCAGTAACATCAGCTGTTTGCTTTCTGTAAGGGGGTAGAATGTACTGAGTGCTTGGAAGACAACTTTGATTTTCTGAGCCCCCTGCTCGCAGAGTTCCCTCGCCTTGCAAGGAACCGGTTGAACATGGCAGACCTTTTTTTTGAGAATCAGGGCTCATGACTATGCAGGGGACCGCTGCACACATACACACATATATATATATATATTTCGGATATTTTGGACCCATGGTCAACCAAGATATTCTTACCACGGCCCAAATTTGCAACCAGCCCAAAAAAGGGTACATGTACGCAGACACACACACACACACACACACACACGCACACAACAATACACATGCAGCGGATGGACGCATTTAGCCTGATCTCCATAGTCCCTGGATAATACAGCTTTGAGCATTGGGAATATTGATGGCCCGGGGAATACCACTTTTCGATAACACTTGTCATGGATTAACTGCAACCCGGAAACTCGTCCAGGGAAACCGCTTTTCGGCACCCATTTTTTGGTGCATACGCACGTGCGCGTGGATTATACCGTCCTTTGTAACATGTTTGGACCTCGAACCGTCCTTTTGAACATTTCATTATCCTTTCCTCTTCAGACTTCAAAGTCCCCAAGAAGCGGGCGCCCCTATAGCCATTGCCCTATTGTGTGCTGCCGAGATTCTGTATGAGGCAAAGGCCTTCCCGTACAACCCCAGGGCAAACCATTGCTTTCTGGATGAAGATTGCATGGGGGTTGTGAAATATCTGTGCCGCAGCGTGCGTAGAATGGAATCATTATTTGAATTTGGGGTGGTGGTGAATATCTGTGAAATGTATATCATTGGTGGCTACCAGCCCTTGTATCTTTTGAGTTTTAGTGGCGCTTTCCATTTCACCCACACCGGTAATTGGGAATCTAAGAACCCGTTTTCGATGTTCATACATGTTGTGGCACATTGCACATTGCAAGGCCCTGCAGGTCGACTTCTAGAAGTACGCGTCGTGGCGAGATGGACGATTAGGCTCATGTGCCAACGGCTGTAGCTGTACAAAGTGTGTGACGGCCGAGCGGGCCAGGTTTTTGGAAAACATGCGCTATCGAACGTGGTCTCCCACAAACCACGGACCCCATATTTTAACACCGGGTGTTTGGGTAGGGCGCGCCGGTTAATGTAGGTCATATTACCCACGCCTGAGCCTGAGGGTGTGTGTATATATATCTATCTATCTATCTATCTATCTATCTATCTATCTATCTATCTATCTATCTATTAGTATTTTGACATAGCCTCGGTCATGAGTTGTGCTTGCAACTCATGGCCGGAAAACATGTGTTGGTGCCGGGCTTCAGACGCGAGGAGGAGCACGCAGACCCGGCTAGGAACTTGTACAACGAGCTGATGTCCGGCCCAGGCCTGGCGTGGTCCACGAGAAGAGTTCCACCCCAAGACTTAAGTCGGATAGGTCGGTAGGCGGGTGGCTGGTCTCTTTTGTTGAGGTACCCCTTTATCGGAAAGCCAGAAGGAATACCCAAAAGAAAAGCCAAGGGATAGGTGTTCGATTCGCCAAGTTAGTAAGTTGTTGGCCACCTTTTGGTTGTATCCCACTTCTATATCCTCCATCAATGTGGGGTCAACCTTGCCAGTCCAACCAGTAGCTGACTTAGCGAATCGAACATCCAAGTAGGTCAAAAGGCTAAGCTGCGCGGGAGAATGAGGCGCGTTTTTCATTGAGGATGCCCATTTGCTGTTTTTAAAGGGAAACGAAAAGGACTACGCTTTAAGCTAACTTCCATGATTGTTTGGTGCGATTGGCGTCTCAAGCACCCGTGGGCGGTCTCTGGATGGCCCAAATGGCACGGGATCGCTTCAAGTAAGCAGTGGACAATGGCAAGTCATGCCCAATGCCCACGAATGGACCTATTTCCACGCAATATTCTTACCCGTCCCTTGCGTGGCAAATGCAACGGAACATCGGCACCCATTTCCAGCAGAAACCGACATGGGCTGCCCAAACCCCGATACCGAAACTGTTCGCAGAACGGAATACCTTTTGCAGTGACTCCATTTACCTTCTCGCAGGTAACCAAGCGACCCCACCTTCTATAAACAGAGCAAACATGGCGAAGGGTTACCTACTATGGTGGTAATTTGGATCCACTGGGTAGAGCAAACAACCAGACCAACCAAACCAACCAAACAAAGCAAACAGCCAGCAAACGCACAACGTGTCCTCGCAGAATGCGAGACGCCTTGTCACCTTTCGTGGCTTCATCTGGGGTAGGTGGCGGGACAGCGTTGCGCAGCCGCATCTCCAACGCTGGCCAACAGCTGCTGAGAGTTGAAGCCAAGCTGGACGAGCCAGACAAGTGCCTTCGCGCCGTTTGAATTCGCCGTCCCGACTGGAAATGCGGCCAGAAGCCCTGCTTGTTATTTGCCATTCTCCGGGTTCCAGGCAAACCGCTACAGGCAACTGGGTATGGCTGCCTCCAAGTTTTACATCGTGGGGAACTCTCTGCTAACCTACTATAGTGGCGAAACGCCTGGAAGCACAACTTTTTGCGGTTTGAAGGGAAAGCAGGGTAACCAAAAAGAGAGGAAGCCAGAGGCACTTCGCTCATTTCAGGGATTCCCTCTTCGGAAACCATGCAATCCAAAGCAGCAGTGGTTCATAGTCGGTGGGCCTCCTCTTGTATTGGCCAAAAGGTCCTTAGCTCGGAACCAAAGGGAAACCAGAAGCGAATTTCGCGCCAATGCCGGCAGAGCCTCTGGAGGGGTCCCAGAATTCGAGGCAAACCCAAATTTGGGACGACCAAAAGGCACAAGATGGTCAATAACTGGTCGAGGCGAAAGAAGCCAATCGGGGTTAAGGTTCCATTTTGGGCCCGATCTCACAACTACTGGGAGTTTCATATGGACAATTCTGGCCTGAGAGGAGGCAAACCGGATGTGTCTCTTTTGGTCTACAAGATGACCTTTATGCGTCTGTATGGGGTGTTGCCCCTTTCTTTCAGAATGCACCGGTTTCTTTTGTCTATAGGGTTTGCGTCTACAAGATGACCTTTAGATGCGTCTCTACGGGGTGTTGCCCCTTTCTTTCAGAATGCATCGGTTTCTTTTGTCTGTAGGGTTTGCGTCTACAAGATGACCTTTATGCGTCTGTACGGGGTGTTGCCCCTTTCTTTCAGAATGCACCGGTTTCTTTTGTCTATAGGGCTTGTATGTACAAGATGACCTTTATGCGTCTTTACGGGGTGTTGCCCCTTTGTTTCAGAATGCATCGGTTTCTTTTGTCTATAGGGTTTGCGTCTACAAGATGACCTTTATGCGTCTGTACGGGGTGGGTTTGTTTTGTCTATAGGGTTTGCGTCTACAAGATGACCTTTATGCGTGTGTACTGGGTGTTGACCCTTTCTTTCAGAATGCATCGGTTTCCTTTGTCTGTAGGGTTTGCGTCTACAAGATGACCTTTATGCGTCTGTACGGGGGGGTTGCCCCTTTCTTTCAGAATTCATCGGTTTCTTTTGTCTATAGGGTTTGCGTCTACAAGATGACCTTTATGCGTCTGTACGGGGTGGGTTTGTTTTGTCTATAGGGTTTGCGTCTACAAGATGACCTTTATGCGTCTGTATGGGGTGTTGCCCCTTTCTTTCAGAATGCACCGGTTTCTTTTGTCTATAGGGTTTGCGTCTACAAGATGACCTTTAGATGCGTCTCTACGGGGTGTTGCCCCTTTCTTTCAGAATGCATCGGTTTCTTTTGTCTGTAGGGTTTGCGTCTACAAGATGACCTTTATGCGTCTGTACGGGGTGTTGCCCCTTTCTTTCAGAATGCACCGGTTTCTTTTGTCTATAGGGTTTGTATGTACAAGATGACCTTTATGCGTCTTTACGGGGTGTTGCCCCTTTGTTTCAGAATGCATCGGTTTCTTTTGTCTATAGGGTTTGCGTCTACAAGATGACCTTTACATGCGTCTGTACGGGGTGTTGCCCCTTTCTTTCAGACTGCATCGGTTTCTTTTGTCTGTAGGGTTTGCGTCTACAAGATGACCTTTATGCGTCTGTACGGGGTGTTGCCCCTTTCTTTCAGAATGCATCGGTTTCTTTTGTCTATAGGGTTTGCGTCTACAAGATGACCTTTATGCGTCTGTACGGGGTGTTGCCCCTTTCTTTCAGAATACATCGGTTGCTTTTGTCTACAGGGTTTGCGTCTACATGATGACCTTTAGATGCGTCTGTACGGGGTGTTGCCCCTTTCTTTCAGAATTCATTGGTTTCTTTTGTCTATAGGGTTTGCGTCTACAAGATGACCTTTACATGCGTCTGTACGGGGTGTTGCCCCTTTGTTTCAGACTGCATCGGTTTCTTTTGTGTATAGGGTTTGCATCTACAAGATGACCTTTGGATGCGTCTGTACGGGGTGTTGCCCCTTTCTTTCAGAATGCACCGGTTTCTTTTGTCTATAGGGTTTGCGTCTACAAGATGACCTTTAGATGCGTCTGTACAGGGTGTTGCTGCTTTCTTTCAGAATGCAACGTGCACTTGAAGTATGTGCGTCGGGGTGTTGCCCCTTTCTTTCAGAATGCAACGTGCACTTTAAGTATGTCTGTCGGGGTGTTGCCCCTTTCTTTCCGAACGCAACGTGCGCTTCAAGTATGTCCGTCGGAGTGTTGCCCTTTTCTTTCAGAATGCAACGTGCACTGTAAGTATGTCCGTCGGGGTGTTGCCCCTTTCTTTCAGAACGCAACGTGCGCTTTAAGTATGTCCGTCGGGGTGTTGCCCCTTTCTTTCAGAATGCAACGTGCACTTTAAGTATGTCTGTCGGGGTGTTGCCCCTTTCTTTCAGAATGCAACGTGCACTTTAAGCATGTCCGTCGGGGTGTTGCCCCTTTCTTTCAGAATGCAACGTGCACTTTAAGTATGTCCGTCGGGGTGTTGCCCCTTCTTTCAGAATGCAACGTGCACTGTAAGTATGTCCGTCGGGGTGTTGCCCCTTTCTTTCAGAATGCAACGTGCACTTTGAGCGTGTCCGTCGGGGTGTTGCCCCTTTCTTTCAGAATGCAACGTGCACTTTAAGTATGTCCGTCGGGGTGTTGCCCCTTTCTTTCAGAATGCAACGTACACTTTAAGTATGTTCGTCGGGGTGTTGCCCTTTTCTTTCAGAACGCAACGTGCACTTTAAGTGTGTCCGTCGGGGTGTTGCCCCATTCTTTCAGAATGCAACGTGAACTTCAAGTATGTCCGTCGGGGTGTTGCCCCTTTCTTTCAGAACGCAACGTGCACTTTAAGTATGTCCGTCGGGGTGTTGCCCCTTTCTTTCAGAATGCAACGTGCACTTTAAGTATGTCCGTCGGGGTGTTGCCCCTTTCTTTCAGAACGCAACGTGCACTTTAAGCATGTCCGTCGGGGTGTTGCCCCTTTCTTTCAGAATGCAACGTGCACTTTAAGTATGTCCGTCGGGGTGTTGCCCCTTTCTTTCAGAATGCAACGTGCACCTTAAGCATGTCCGTCGGGGTGTTGCCCCTTTCTTTCCGAACGCAACGTGCACTTTAAGTATGTCCGTCGGGGTGTTGCCCCTTTCTTTCAGAATGCAACGTGCACCTTAAGAATGTCCGTCGGGGTGTTGCCCCTTTCTTTCCGAACGCAACGTGCGCTTCAAGTATGTCCGTCGGTGTGTTGCCCTTTTCTTTCAGAATGCAACGTGCACTGTAAGTATGTTCGTCAGGGTGTTGCCCCTTTCTTTCAGAACGCAACGTGCGCTTTAAGTATGTCCGTCGGGGTGTTTCCCCTTTCTTTCAGAATGCAACGTGCACTTTAAGTATGTCTGTCGGGGTGTTGCCCCTTTCTTTCAGAATGCAACGTGCACTTTAAGCATGTCCGTCGGGGTGTTGCCCCTTTCTTTCAGAATGCAACGTGCACTTTAAGTATGTCCGTCGGGGTGTTGCCCCTTTCTTTCAGAATGCAACGTGCACTGTAAGTATGTCCGTCGGGGTGTTGCCCCTTTCTTTCAGAATGCAACGTGCACTTTGAGCGTGTCCGTCGGGGTGTTGCCCCTTTCTTTCAGAATGCAACGTGCACTTTAAGTATGTCCGTCGGGGTGTTGCCCCTTTCTTTCAGAACGCAACGTGCACTTTAAGTATGTCCGTCGGGGTGTTGCCCCTTTCTTTCAGAATGCAACGTGCACTTTAAGTATGTCCGTCGGGGTGTTGCCCCTTTCTTTCCGAACGCAACGTGCGCTTCAAGTATGTCCGTCGGGGTGTTGCCCTTTTCTTTCAGAATGCAACGTGCACTGTAAGTATGTCCGTCGGGGTGTTGCCCCTTTCTTTCAGAATGCAACGTGCGCTTCAAGTATGTCCGTCGGGGTGTTGCCCTTTTCTTTCAGAATGCAACGTGCACTGTAAGTATGTCCGTCGGGGTGTTGTTCTTTTCTTTGAGAATGCAACGTGCAATTCAAGTATGTCCGTCGGGGTGTTGTTCTTTTCTTTGAGAATGCAACGTGCACTTTGAGTGTGTCCGTCGGGGTGTTGCCCCATTCTTTCAGAATGCAACGTGCACTTTAAGTATGTCCGTCGGGGTGTTGCCCCTTTCTTTCAGAATGCAACGTGCATATTAAGTATGTCCGTCGGGGTGTTGCCCCTTTCTTTCAGAATGCAACGTGCACTTTAAGTATGTCCGTCGGGGTGTTGCCCCTTTGTTTCAGAATTCAACGTGCACTTTAAGTATGTCCGTCGGGGTGTTGCCCCTTTCTTTCAGAATGCGTGCACTTTAAGTATGTCCGTCGGGGCGTTGCCCCATTCTTTCAGAATGCAACGTGCACTTTAAGTATGTCCGTCGGGGTGTTGTTCTTTTCTTTGAGAATGCAACGTGCACTTTAAGTGTGTCCGTTGGGGTGTGGCCCCTTTCTTTCAGAATGCAATGTGCACTTTGAGTATGTCCGTCGGGGTGTTGCCCCTTTCTTTCAGAATGCAACCTGCACTTTAAGTATGTCCGTGGGGTTGTTGCCCCTTTCTTTCAGAATGCAACGGTTTCTTTTTCGAGAAGGTCCCCAATGGGCGCAGTGACCGATGTTTCCATGTCATATTAGCTCAGGTACGGCGTAAAGAAGTCCTATCCCTCCTGGGGCCGAGCGCGCTGGCTGCAATGACCTTGGCACATCAGTTGTTTTTGCGTTTTGTTTTGTGTTTCCTTTTTTTTCCGTTTTTTTTTTTGACGTGTTTTCTTGTTTTTGTGTGCAGATAACTGTTTGCAAAGGGTCTGTATAAGTGTGTGTGCATGTGCAAGTTCGCGTCAGTACTTGACTGGTCAGACATCTACTGTAGTCAAGATGGCAGTTGGGCCCACCCGCCGCAAAACAGCACGAGGAACTACTTAGAGGGGAAGACGCGCTTCATTGTCCGCGAGCTTGTTTTTGTTGTGAGAAATCCGCTTTTGGGTTGGTTTCGAGGAAACCACGAGAAATCCAAGCAATCAAACTTGAGTTGGGAAAGTGAAGGCAGAGCAAGGGATTGCCCCTTGTCTCATAAATAGGCATGGCCAAAATGCCGTTTGGATTCTTTACCATGGGCAGTGGGTAGACTTCCTCAATAGGTGTGATTTAGATTCAGATGCGAAGGCGTGCATGAACCGCACGGCTCAGCAAAGCCCCAGTCAGACTGCCCGTCTGTTCAAGGTTGACTTACTCCTCGGGAACGTTGACGGCTTCACCAACTATTTGCGTTCTCGGGACACTGACCGAGTCAGGCAGGCGTAGCGTCATGTCCATAGGTGTCCTTTTTAGGTGAGCTAGCACTGGTTTAGATGGGCTTGATTCTATTTACCAGGGCCATCTATTTGCCAGAAGGTCACCTATGGTCATGTCTCTTTCAAAGGACTCGTTTGCCACCGACACTTGTGTCGGCGCGAGCATGCAAGCTCCGCAGGCAAGCGAAACGAGGAGAGCTTGAACCTGATCCGACCACGGCCGGACTTTCCCAGGACTGAGAGCGAATTCCATCCTTTTCCACTTGGCATGGCTCAGGACACCTTGATCTGGGTGTTCAGCTTGGGGCGCCGCTGGGCAAATTTTTTGAGTCATTCTGGGAAAGTCCCAGCCAGAGGTGCATGAATCCGGTTTGATTCTTTAGCTTTCTGGCTCTGAGGGAATGACCCAGAGGTTTGTAAGGGATTTCCTGAAAGGAACCAGGGATTGTTCAGTTCGGGGTCATTCCGTTTCTCATTGCCTGTTCGTTTCAGCCAGGAGTTGCTAGCAGTTGTTATCAGGGGTTCTGGGTATCCCTCCCAAACACACCCTTCTAGTCGGAAGCCCTTCGCCATTTTCAAAATTTGATCTTCCTTTTCGGGTGGCGCTCGCCCTTGGTTTGGCATCCGTTGTACCCAGGTAAAAATGGATGCCACTGAGCCCTGGATACCATTTTGTGTGACTGGGACCCTTAGGCAAGAAGTTGATGGACGAGCTGGACTCACGCCAGCGGGGGACTCACTTTGACATCGCTTCGGAGATGGACGAAATCGGATAGGCTTCCAATGGGCGCTAGTTGGGTGGTGCGGATTCACCAGCACCCCCCAAGCCCATGGGTGTTTTTCAAAAAATAGGGATTCATTCCTTCAGCCGGTTCTACTTCCTTTTTGGTTTCCCCTTAAAGCAATCCGAAAAGGGGACCCCTACTGTGGATGGACCACTAAGAAACAATGATTCGATTCCTCTGTGAACAGCACCCAATGGTTTCCCACGGTTTCAAAGTAGTGCAGGATTTTGTGCATCCACGTATTTTGAGAGACACCCGTATGGTGGCCTTGCCACCAAGTCCAAGGATTTCCCAGTACGTTGCAGTCTGGCTGAGGTTGGTTGCAATAACCGCACCCTTTTGGGCCAACTTGAAAGGTTTGGTTGGCTTTATATAAAGGGAAACAAAAGGAGACCAAGCATGTTTGGTGTCCCCAAACAAGGGGTGTGCGGATAGCGAGTGCTTGAAAGCGAGCGAGTCAGGTGCCACCACAAAGTCATCTCCTGCATAGACGTGCAGAGCTTGCGCGAGGTGGGACCCGGGAGTCCTCCAATGTGATGGTTTTGCCAGAGCCACTTGCGCAAAACCCGGGTGGATGAAGGTTAGGAAGGGGATAGTCCCAACCATCAATGGGTGCCTTCGCTGCCTTTCCAATTCTTGAAGCACGGTTCTGGGTAGACCATTTTTAGCCCAGGTTTTGATTTTTTGGCTCAGATGGTTCCCATTGTTCAAGAGGCGCTGAGCCTCCCAACGACGCATTCCTTTGGTTTCCAGGCACTGCTAGAGGAGTTGCAGAAGGAGGAGGCCTACAGCCCCACCCGGCAGGGAGTGAGACCAGGACGGGAGAAACAAAGGCACAACACCTAAGGGGTCCCATGGGTCCTTTCCGTTTGAACCGTCCTCTGGCGGCTTTTTCCGGACGGAAGGCTTGCCTTCTGTGCCACATGCCTTTTTGACTCATGGGACGAACGTATGATTCATCTAGGTCCAAAGTAGGGGCCAAAACCACCAAACGTGTTTTTTGCCCTTGAATGTCATGACTGCAACCCCCACCCCTTAAAAGGCTTAACGGCAATGGCATCGGGGGATAGTTCTTTACATGGAATGGCGTTTCTTCTTAGGGTACCCTCCCTTTGGGGGCGGTTTCAAGGGGGAACCAAAAGGACTCAATCCATTTTAGGGGATCCTGGTTTTGACACACACACACAAATTGGTGAGGCCGCTCTTTGTTTCTCTACACAGAGTAGATTAATCGGGCGGTAGCTTCGCCGGTATTTCCAGGGGCCCTTGTTTCCAGAACAGCAGACACACCAACCGGAAACGGCTTGTTTTTGTTCGCGGCGGTGTGCGGTACCCATGTTTGAGACTAGTTTCCCTTGTTTTCTTTTTGCGCTCGGCCAGCGCATGGTGTGGACATTTTTTTTTCTTATGTTGCACACGACATGGATTGAAAGCACACGCACACCATGGACTGCATGCGGATCATTGACTCACAAAACGCCTGTCCAAGCCTCGCACATCTGCACTGTGTCCAGCTTGCAGGGTTACGTGTTCGATTGAATGGATGTTTCGGCCACCTGCCTTGTGGAGTCCTCAATGAAGCACCGCTAAAGGTAGGTAGCTTCTGCAACTTGATGCTATCTTGGAAGACACTCTCAGCTGCAAACCACCAGTCTGTTGTTTTTCTCATGAGTCTCAGGAGTCATCCAGAGCCTGACGGCCGAGCAGCTGAAGAAAGAGCGAGAAGCGGCCACTTGCTGAGAGTTTGGTGCGAGCGCTCCAGCCAGGTGGGGTTCGCCGTTTTTGTGAGGAGGTGGGCCCGTTGCCTTTTGGTTGGCTTTTTTTTAAGGGAACGGAAAGGAAGTTTGGGGGGCCCTGATTAAATTGACGTATAGGGAACCTTGGATGCGCCCGGGACTAGGGGCGTGGTTTTGGGTGGCCATTTCCCGTGTTTGGAGCTTAAAGGACAACTAAATGAGGCCACCCAGATCTTTGGCTCCTCCGTGAGACAAGCCCAAATGCTTTGAAAGGGATTTATAAGATGCAACTTGGCAATGTAAACCATTACCGTTTTCCACCAGACCAAAAAGGAGACCGCGGATGTTTTCTGGGTAATGTTCAGGTGGACAAAAACGGCCAAGGGTTTGCAGCGCCCAAAACACCCCATTTGGCCACATGAGTAAGTGGTGTCTACTACCTGCTTTACGAAAATCGTTTAGCCCTTATGAACATTTGCACCCATTTTGGTAGAACCAAACGTCGCTATGGGTATCTGTAAGAACAAGCATGCACCAGCACGTGTTGGTTGTCTTTTAAAGCCGATCTCACATCAGGTGTCCCTCAAGAATACACCCAGCCATATGGGCCATATGCATAGGTGTCCTTCTTGGTTTGGTGGCAAAAATCGATGGCGATCCCTGGTTTCCCCGGTGGTTTAATATCAACTACCAGGGAAATCCATCTATTTCCCCTCTACTTGGACACCTATGGGCCATATGGGCCATACTCGCAGTGCGTTGGCTCCTTCGATCCCAGGACACGAACGTGCCACTCCTCACAGTCTTCGTGGATGAGAAGAGCCCCCGGTACCTGAAGTTCAGGCACGGCTGGCTGCCGTCCTTACTGCCAGGGTTGGGCGTTGGTTTAAAGAGCCTCTGTTTGGTGAGAGGCAAAATTCAGAGGCAGCGGTTGATTTGGAGTGAGCATTTGGTTTCCGGATCCTGTTTCGTATTTCCTTCGGCCGTCAGAGCCTGTTTTTTTTTCACTTTTGCTGAATGCCAAGTTTCGCTCTCCCAAGTCGTGGAGCCAGCGCAGTTCTTGATTTGGGTGTGGGTCAAAATTAAACCACTAGGGGACCGCAGGTTTTAGTCCATGTTTCCATTTACCAGGTCTATTTTGGGTACATATTTTTGACCCACAGCCATTTGGCGACTCAAAGTTATGACTGGGCAAGACCCTCAAAAATATTCGGGTATAAATCCATCGAATCGAAATGATGATGGTCGGGTGCTAAATGGCCCCATATTGGCGCCTCAATTTTTCGCTGTACGTCGCTTGACATGTTTTCCACAGCCTCTATTCAACTGGATGCCCACCGAGGGGTCCCTACTTCAGAATCAGTCTTTCTTTTTGTGTTTTTCTTTTTGTGTGCTTTTGAGGGACACTTTTCAGGTTTGTTTACTTGAAGGGAAGCCAAAAGGAAACATGCCAGTTTTGGGGCCCCCTCCTCTGACTACTCATTTGGGTCTGTCTTTTTTTGGGGCTACCCAAATTGTTTGGTGGTTTGACAGGGATACCAAGAGGAAAGCCACTTCTTTTTTTTTGGGGGGGGGTCCCCTAAAAAAAGACCCCCAACAAAGACACTCATTTGGGGTGCAGGGACGAGCTCCAAGCTGCAGCAAGTTTGCTGCTGCGGGCCATTCGAATCGTGGTGGTCGACGCCATGGCCAACCCATCCGTGGTGAAGGAGTTTGCCACGGTGCGCCGCTTGCCATGCAGAACTGGCGAAAAACCTCGGCGGACGTCGAGCTTGAAGATGTGCTTGTTTTCTCCCCCAAGTCGAGAACACTCTAACTGATCAGGCTACTCTTCATTGGTTTGGATTGGTGGTTTCGATTTGGATTGAACCTCTGGTTGGGCAAAACAGAAAGGACAATCCCGGGATCGCAAGTGAAATCAGGGTGTTTCAACCAAATGGGGGCACATACTCTTGGGCACTACCAGTCCATGGGTTCCCAACTTAGAGATTGGAAACAAAAACAACTGCTGGGTAGTTTGCTTTGGGTTTCACCGTCATGGGCGCGGCTTTTCTTTTGAGGCTAGCCCTTTGTGCACAAAACGACAAAAAAAAGGTCACAAGAAGAATCCGAAGGCCGCGGTCTCTCTATTTTTATTTTTATTTTTTTGGGGGAGTCCAGTTTGAGCCAACCCCATTGGTTTCGCAAGATCCTTTAGGGAGCGCAAGGGTCCCCTCTTGCCACCACCAATGACCCACAGCTTCTGAGTTTCTGTTAGGCTTCCCGACGCTGATCTGGATGCTTCCCGGCGGAGGCCCGGTGTTCGGTGTGCGGTTTCTGTTGGCTCGGATCGCGAGATGAAACAAACCCTCGAGTCGTTGGTACCTTGAAACCTTGAACGACTTGTTGCTCTCAACAAATGAACCGACCTTTGGACATAGCTACTTGAAGTTACACGGGACTCATTTTTTGCGGGGAAGGCCATGTGAGTGGTAAGCAAACAGTTTAAGCTCCCGTTTGGCCAATCCCCTGAGGAAGTGAGCATTAAACCTTTGGACACTTTAGGCGAGGGGTGTGCCCAACCGCTCAGGGTTATGACCATTGCTACAAGTGGGAGGGTTGATTTACAACCATGGTTACAGCATACACACTGAACGCATCCTGCTCTTTCTAAATGAGGAATCCCCTCAAAAGTGGTTGGTGGAAATGAATTCCCAGAGAATCTTGATGTCCACCGGGCCTAGGACCCATTCAGATTCAGCACCCGAGCAAACCTTTTCCAGTCAGTTTGACGAAGCTGAAGCCATGCTCGACTTCAGGTGCCGAGTTGTCCCGCGAGATTGGGGTGTTTCCTGCGCCGCTGGGACGAATGGGGGGGTCTGGCTTGGAAAACCTGGGAGGGCCTGGTGGTCCAACCACCCACTTTTCGCATGGGGGAAAGATTCGTTTCCGCCGATTGCGAGAAACACATGGGTGGCTCGTCTTGTTTTGAGGGTACCAACCTTTTTGGATGCTTTAAATGGACACCGAGAAGAAAACCACGAGTTTGCTTCTTTTTTTGGGGGCGAGTCCCTTACAACGAGATACATCCATATTAGTGCTATGGTCAGGCCATTTAACTTGTGGATGGTAGGCCTACTGATGGGGAATTCCGGTTTTGTTTGTCGCAGGCAAGCAATCCTGCCCTTGAGGCAATTTGAATACCCCATGATCGAAGTACATGACTCTACAGGGAGCCAATATGTTTCCCCACTTGGGAAATAGCTGCTGAAGGCTGTCCGATCACCCCAGAATCAAAGTACATGATTCTACCCCACTCAAGAAATTCCCTCGTCCACCAGCATGGGACCCACCGAAGTTTTCGTACACCGAAGCGTTCACAAAATGGACCATCGTCCAAACCAAGACCCCGAAACGTCAGGTTCAATACGTGGAGAGGAGGGTAACCGCTAGAGGTTGTCAGATGCTTCAGCCACAGGAGCTCCATTGTGGACCGGACCCGTGCCCTGGTCAGACTGAAGGAGCTTCCCGAGGCCGAGGCGCAGAAAAGCAATTGACCGTCGATGGCTATGAGTGTTGGTTTCCCTAACCGCCCAAAGAAGGGTTGAGAAAGACACACCCATATGGGTATGGCTCAAAATTGAAGAGCTGGGCTTACGCGGGTTTTAGTCTTTGGTCCCATTTACCAAGGTGCTATTTTGGTACCACTTTTTTGAGCCGCAGCCGTCTAGGCTTCCTTTTGTATTTGGACGGCAGGAGGTCCAGCCAGGGGAAGACGTCATTTGGTTTGCATTGGGTCCACAAGAATCCAGGGTCGGCCTCCGAGGAACATGATGCTTGAGGGTCCCAGGAGTTCCTAGCTCCGGCGCGATCCCGTCTCTTCCCAAACCAGGGCCTCAAGGTGAGGGGGGATCCGGAGATCTCGCTTTCTAGGAGTGGATTCGACGAATCTGTTCTCCACCCAAGAGCAATCCGGATCTCCAAAGTGCGGCACCGATGACGCACTTATGTACTGGAATCCCCTTCTCCAGAGATGCAGTCATGGGAATGAATCACCAGGCGTCCATTTTGACGGTCCAGAAGCCAGCATGGATTGGGTCAAACAACGTTGGACAACACAGTGTTTGTGATCATTTTCCATCACACAGCGAATCCCCACCAACACCCAGTCTCCCCCAAAATTCTATGGGACACTTCCGCATTCTTTCCAGGGATCCTTCTTTCCAGAAAACCATCAGAACCCCAGGGGAAACTGCAGGTGTTTGAAAAGAACGATGGTTGAAAGGAATGGGGAAGCAACCCCTAGAAAAGTGGGGGGTCAACCGTAGCTTGAGGCGCGCTTTGTTTTTGTTTCACCCGCGGTTGTTTCGGCCAGGTCAAAGCGCTGGCGGAAGTGGGGCTTTCCAGGTGTGGGGCTGCACGGGTCCGTCTGGAGTTTGCTTCGATTTGAGCAGTTGCAATGGACGCCCTGCTGATGGAAATAGGTATTTGGGGTAGTTGAGCAATTCTTCTTTTTTTTGCGGGAATTTGGGGGGAATTTGAGGGTTCCTTAGCCCGATTTAGAGGGGAACCTTTACTGAATCATGGTTGTTTTTGGTGGATCCTTCGGACCAATTCATTCCGGATGGTTTGGTTTTCCCCCTTTTGACATTACCCGGGTGGATTCCCAACCCAAAGGGATCGATATGGACCGATTCCCGAGTAGGATCTTGGGATCTTGGGATCTTGGGCTTCAAACCGAATCAAAGGGCACCGAGATCCCCTTGGCAGGTCCCTTCCCTTATCTTGGTGGCTCCCCAAAAATGTGCTTACTGGGGGTTGCCACTTAACCCACTAAAAATCAAACTTTTAGCAAGATCTGAGGACAGCCCAGTTATCATTCCCCTTGGGGAATCAAGAAGTTTCATGCTTTGGTGACAGGGCGGGAGCCGGCAGTTTGAATGGGAACAACCCTTGAAATTGTTGGACATACACCCTGGCAGCTTGGTTTCTCCGAAAATTGGACTCGCTCTCCCTGTGGAAACCAAACATGTGATAAACTTTCTGTACGCAGTGTCGACAAATGGGTTTGCCTTTCTTAGGGGACCCCCTAAATTGATCGTTTTCCCCTGTGGTTTCCCTTTGAAACCCCACCAAACACAGGTACCCCCCCCCGAAAAAAAAATGGACCGACTTGACCAAACTGCCCTCCAAAGGGACCCCCTAAAATGGGTGGGCCTTCCTTTTAAGTTTTCTTTGACACCCGCCTAAACCAGCGTACCCACCAGAAAAAAGCACAGACCCAACTGCCGGCCAGGAAGTTCCGCAAGGCCAACTTTGGGCGGCCGCATCCGCAGAAGTCCGCCTCGGTGAGGTCCATCCAGGGCCACTCCAAGGGATTCTGGCGCCACGGGCGGCGGTAAAAAACGTCGCATTCGCGCTCGCGTGCGCCTGGGCGGTGCCAAGGCAAGTTCTTGCTGGGATTCCCAGCCATCCGGTTCCTTAGATGTTTTTTTTGTTTGAAGCTTTTTGGGGTCTAGCGGTTTCATGACAACAACCACTAGAAGTTAAACTTTTAGCCGGGGATCTGGGAAAAGGCAAACAGTTTCGGTTTTGATAGCAGATGTTTGAGACTTGTGGCTTTCCATATGGACAATTCGTAGGGCCACTTTCTACGTGATTGTAGGGAGATCCCCTTGAACATGATAAGTACACTTTGGTACAATATATTCTGAGACCATGGTCTCTTGGGGTGATTTTGATACTTGTAGCATGGGCACTATGAGTATTCCTTTCTTGAGGGTCAGGCTAGAGGTAGGACCGACTGGGACCAGCCCCCAAGGCCTGCTTCAGCCGGTTCCATGGAAATGACGGGTCATTTGTTTTGACGGTTTCTGCGGGGCTATCAAATTATCAAAGTCAGACAATGGTTGGTTGTTTCCCCTGCCACTTTCATGGGGGGGACTTTGACGGAAACATACAGTACCTACCCTCTTTCCAACAATCATGGAACTGGACAGGGCTTCCCCCAAGAAGGACAGTAGTCTTCCAAAACGCTCCTCTCAGCTTCCATGTTGGGAGGGTAATGCCATGAGGAATCAGACGCGCCAAGGTTTCAGGAGAACGTCCGCACACTCTGGTATGCGCTCAATGGTCCGTATGGCGATGCTGCCCTGGCCTCAAATCTAGAAACCAGAGCCTCGGTGAATCCCTTGATTTTTTTTGTTTTTTTGCGGGAACCTTCCAAAATGCGGGATTTCCTGTTGGTTTCCATTTTAAAACAACCCCCCCCCCAAAAAAAAACAGACAACTTGACTTGGACACTCATCCCACTTATCCCCACTAGGGATAAAACAAACATGCGCCCGACCATGTTTGATGGGAGAGTCATGGGTCATGCTTGCAAATCATTTCTGCTTGTTGCCGTGTGAGTTGCCATCATGTGACCTCAAGTGTTTTTGGCGTACGGGGGTATAGCTGCAGAATCCATGAGGGGTATGTTGGGTACTGTGCTAATGGGTGCACGCCAGTTCGGGGCCCAGGAAAAACAAAAAAACAACAGACCACTTGATTCACTCGTCACACATTTCAAGTTGTTTGTGCCAGCATGCGAGGCAATTACCATGGCAGAAGTTGACTCGGAGACGGAGGCCTGAATATGGGTAGGTCAAAACAGGGGGGCCGTGTTTTTTTTTGGGGGGGGCGGGGGGGGCGGGTTTGAGAGTTTCCTTTGGTTTTCCGTAGAATGAGGCTGAACTCGGGTACCTCAAAAACACAGGCTCATATGGCCTGCCGCATTTTTCTTTGCCGCATCTCTTTGGATTGCTCGTGCTTGTTGCATGTTGCCTTCCGAAGCCCCGGCTTTGCGAGCGGCATCTGGAACATGATCGGTCGCTGCTCAAGCCAACGGACCTAGGAAGGCAAGATTTGCAGAGCACGACACGCACTCGAAGATTTTTTGGCTCCAGATCACATGAGCCACAATCAAAACCCGGGCAGATGAAGGTTAGGGGACGATCCCAGCAATAAATAGCTGCGGATATCCGCCTTCTTAATCCTGTACATGGTTCTGGGTAGACCATTTGAGTACCAGGTTTTGATTGCGACTCACATAGACTTCGTTCCGAGCCAGATGCCGGAAGATACGGACTCCCGAGCGTTTACAGAAGCGGTGCAAGCGCTGTGGGACGCGTACAACTCCGATTTGGGCCGGTTGCAAAGCCAGACTCTTGGTTACTTTTTGGTACGGCCAAGCTCACCGTTTCACCTTTTGGAAGATCGGATCTCCGTGGTTTTGAGGGTACCCTTTTTCCCCCACAAAAACCGCCTCTTCCCTCTGGTTAGATTCTCGTAGACGGGCATCGCTGCCCTTTTGCGACATCTTGTGGGTTGACCAAGGAATGAGCGTCTGGTCGCCAAACTTCAAGAGGTGAAGGAGGAGACATCCCCTGCCAAGTCGGTGGTATTCACGCACAACGTCAGCGACCTGGTTCATGTTAACCCCCTAGTGACTAACCGCTCCCCAAATCGGGGGGGGGGGGAGGGGATGGCGTCCCCTGGACCAAAGGATTCCCCACTAAAAATGGCACCCCTTTAAACATATAAGCAGCCTCGTCGACCTTCAACCTTGCAGTTCCCTGTCTGCGTCTGTCTTTATTCTTGGAGGGCCCCCCTTTTGTGGTTTGAAAGGACCACCACTTCTGGACAACCACCATGTTTGGGCGTCCCACCTGAAGAGAAGACACACTCGGCTCTCAAGAAAGACCGCCTTTTGGCAGCACCTAGGCGAGAGCTCATCAGAGGGGCCCCAGCAAGGACCCGCGGAGCCTCGCAGCGCGTGGGCCGTGGTGCCTACACCGGCGCCGAGGAAAACCAGGAGCTCGGCGACATCCTCAAAGTGACCCGAGCCTTTTTGTGTCTGTCAAGGCTCTGCCTTGAGGAACTATTTGCGAACCCCCTAAAATGGTGGTGCCGGTTCTTCTTCGGTGTTCTGTACCTGAACAGTGGCAAATCCGAGAAATACAAAAACGACATCATTTTGCTCCGCCGGAGCATTGGCTTTGGCCAAACCTCTGCTCGAAGATGTTGCCTTCTGAAGTGGTGCAAGCGGTTGCGGTACAAGATGTGGGCGTGTTGCAGGAGCCCGGATCCATCGCACAATACAATGTTTGGCGCTTTGCCTGGTCAAGCAGTGATGGATATGTGATGGATGCAAGATTGAATTATACCAAGATTGGATATTTTTCAAGATTATATCGCATATGTGATGGATAATTTTGGTCAAGATTGAATTCCACAAGCGGTTTTTGAACTCTTTGTACCGACATACAATATTCTTCTGGATGAAAGGTTTAGCACGTTGGCGCGCAGAAGCGCTTGCAATCTTGGTAGGCCGACATGTAGCATCAGGGGCAGTTCTATTCTTTTGGTGCGGAGGTTTACATGATGGGCAAGATGTGTTGCTTCTGAAAGATGTACATTGTTTGAAGCGAAGTAGGAATGCTTGGTCTAGACTTCCAAAAGGGGTACCGGGTTTGTTCTTTTTAAGATCTTCTTATGATCGGCAAGCCCAAGACAGGTGGTTTGGTTGAGAACATGGTTGAGGGGGCGGTTAGAATGTGCAAAGTCAAGCCCTGCGCATGTGTGTAACCAGTCATGCCGTTGTACGCAAAGCAACCATTGACATGTTGGATTGCGTTCCATGGCGTTGATGTTCATTTCTATGTCACCAATCCAGTCGAGCTTTAAAACCTTTCAGGTTTGCGAGCCGGTGCTGTCTAGCATCTTGGTTTGCTTTTTGCTCAGTGTTGAGACTCCGGCGTGTTCTCTTTTGTTGTGTGTGTGTGTGTGTTACCCAGTGCTGGTTGGAGAAAAAAGGGACGCCAAACGGACAACCACCTTTTTTGGGGTCCAAATCCCAATATATATATATATATATATATGTATATAGTATATATATATATATATATGCATATATGTATATACATTATATATATATATATATATATATGTATGGCCAGCCCCCCCCCCACTGTCTTGAAGTCTTTTTTAGTAGTTTAAAGCATATATATATATGTATATATTATTTGACACTTCCCCAAATGGAAGGGTTTTGGCTGGTGGCTCATCCACTCGACTCCTTTCCAGGACCGAAGAGTCGATCTTCTTTGAGTCGTCGTTGGAGGCGGCAGCCCCGACCTCCATTTGGGTCTTTTCCAGGCCCGTGTGGGGGGGAGGGTGGGTGGGTGGGGCCAACTCATCCACGGCAACAGTCCATTTGTTTTTAAATAAGCAGCGGCAGGTCTTGGTTCAAGCCACTGTTGAAACAGTTTCTCCTCGCGTTTCCATGTAAAGGGCCCGTTTCGTCGCCGTTTTCGGCGGTTTTTAGGCGTGTGGTTTCGCATCCCATCTTCGACGTCACTGTGGCGATGCTGATTTTCGCCAACGCTGTGGTCTTGGCCTTGGAAACCCAGACGGAGGCGATCTGGATCGCAAAATATGTGACACACCCGGGGGCCGGTCATTTTGACTGTCAAAGTCAACTGCTTTGTTTTTTGTTTCCCTGGAACCGCGTTTGGAACAGAACCGCAATCGTTGGGGTGACTTTGTGAAAGACCCACAATACCGGATCATTTTGATAGGTGAAAGTGAGAAACGACTTTGGTTGTTTCCCAGCCACAAACTGACTTTGGGAAATGGCCATGGGTACAGTGAACATCCCAATCCAACCACTCAAATGGAAACTACGATGGGTGGTGAATTCGCCTACCAACCAAAATGGGATCCCATTGGTTTTGACAGCCACCAGCCATTTGAAGGCCGCGGCTTGGGGAGCTAAAGGCAAACCCTCACCAATTGTAGTGTGAAAGCGAGGGCTCCATGTTCGGAGCTAAAAAGGACGCAGCTACCCAGTGGTTGATGTCAGGAGGGAAATCGAGTCCTTTGGTTAGGTTCATATTTGGGTCCAAAGATGGAACCCTGACAGCGCCCAATTTTTTCAAGAATCTCTGGATGGTTGGGGAGCAACTGGTTGCAGAGTTATGCAGCTGATTTGACTACAAAACCATCACCCCCCCGTCTGCTTTAGTGCAAAACAACCCGTGGACCAGCGAGAAAGAACCAGCTGGTCACCTTGTGGGGCAGGATGTTTCATGCATAGCGGGTTCAAGATGTTTGAACACGGGGATGGCGCTGTCCATTTTCATCGACGGCGGAAATCTCGATCACAATTGGCAACCCAAAGAGGGCGATTAGATCATGTTTCGGGATCTTGTTAAATTAGAAAACGAATGGGATGCGCCTCTTGTGGATGTATTCCGCTTCTCCTGAACCCAATGACTGATTTTCCATGTCCAAAATCTCAAGTGCGGCCCAAAAAGCAGTAGTTGGGGGTGTGCTGGTTGTTGCTCCCTTCTTTTGAATAGCTAGCAAGGGTGGATCCACAAAACGAAACGCGCATCCAAGCCGTAAAGTTGATTTCATCCACCAAGACCAACATCCCGGCCCGAACCCCCGCCGCCCTTGCCGGCCCCTCCCGCGGTAGGGCCTTTCAGTTGGAGCCTCCTTAGAGTACCAGTCCCTGACCACCAGTCACACAGACGCCTGGACTACAGCAGAGCCCATCTTCGCGACCCTTGGCTGGTGCGGTTCCTGAGGCTTTTGCACCTTTTCGGACTGCGAGGTTTAGAGTTGGGCTTCTGACATCAGGCGAAAAGTCTCACTTCTACTGACTTGTCCAACCCCCAACTTTCAAGCTTTTGGACTTTTGTTGGTTGTCTTCTTCCTTTAGCGGCTGGAACCCCAACATCAAAGTTCGAACTTGAAACCACCTTGCATTCGACCCGGCGGGTGTTTCTCAAGTCCCTTCTTTGGTGTCCCCTCAAATACCCAGTAACGGGTGAATTCTGCTTCATTTTGGGAGCTTCCCCCGAAGCCGCCGCCAGCAGGGCTCGCTTCGGCTCGCTCGGCAAGGACGCTGGGCACGGTCTTCGGGGTGATCTTCACCCTGGAGCTGGTCATGAAGTTCCTGGGCCTGCGCTTGGAGTTCTTTAGGCCCGGGGATTGGGTTCTTCTCACTGCGATTTTGGGTGACGGATCTTGAGAGACTTGAACCTTTTTGGTTGAAATCCAGAGGTTTGCCACCCCCCCCCAAAAAAAAAGAAATAAGAAAAGGAGAGAATATTTTTAACCTTTTTGCAGAGGGCTCAACAGCAACCAAGTGTTGATGGGGTTTGAGCTAGGGTTCCACAAGTTTTGACCAACCCAAGATGAACTTAAGCCCAAAACTTCCTTTTCCTTTTGGGGGGAATGAAGCAGTCCTGGGTTTAAGTGTACCGTGGGTGGTCAAGAGGTGGAACTCTGGTTCTAGGGGCTGATTCCAACAAGTCATTTCAACCATCGTTCTTTTCTCCAAACCGAAACCTGTTTTCAACCTGGGTTTCGAGGTTGTCTAGAAAGAAGGATCCCTGGAAAGAATGGGACAGGTACCCCTAGGATTGGTGGTTTGTGACACCTAAGGCTGCATGGGGAGTGGTTGCTTTGAGTACAGTTGGTGAAAGATGGCACCATTCCCACGCTCCATATACTTCCCACAACATCATGCTCCAGCCAAACACAGGCTCACTGTAACATGGCCAAGAAGGTGATATTG